GTGTATTTAAACAAGTTCTGAAGCCCTTGATCAACAAGAAATCATAGAGAAACAAGAGAGAAAGTATCAAACACCAAGTTTGTGCAAATCAAGCCAATTTTCCTTTCAATATTCATTTTGCTTTCAAGAACACCATTTGTGCTCATTTGTAATTATCTTTGAGTGTTCTTTTCTTGTTCTAGAATTGTGCAAACATCTTACCTTGTGAGGTTTTCCTTGTAAGTTTGCAAATTTGTAATCTTCTTTTTGGGAAAGAGTGTTCTCAAGAATTGGGGTATATTCTTAAGAGTGTTGTAAGGTTATCTCTTTGGCCTCAAAAGAAAGAACAAATTAGTGAATTTGTTGGAAAATCCTTAGTGTGGATAGCTAAGGTAGTGGACGTAGACTTTGATTGAGAAAGTCGAACCATTCTAAATCGCTGTGCAATTACTTTCAATTTTCTACAAAAGCTTCCACCAAATTTTTAATTGCCAATTCACCCCCCTCTTGGCCAATTCCGTCAATCGATTAACTCAACAAATATATTTTAAATATCTTTATTAAAATATTATTAGATTATTATACTAAAAATAAATACATAAATAATATTATTCATTATAAATAATTTAACAATATTATCTATGGAATTAATAAATAATATAAAGTTTATTTATAATTTATTATATATTATTAAAATAAAAATATAATATCTAATTATAATATAATTGAATATATTAGTATAATATTATAAAATATAGTATTATATCATTAGAAATATTAGTAAATATATTTATAATATTTTAATAATTAATATTTTGATTAAAATGATATTAAAATATTATATCAATAATAAATTCACAAAATAAAAATATTTTGCTTATTTACACCTTGAATTGAAAAGTTCAGAAAACGACTTACGGAAAATCATACCGTAAGTCATTTTCCAGAAAATACAAAGGAAATTATGTTGACCAGGAAAATGTTTTACATCGACCAATCAGTTTTCCTTCAACCAAACACTAAAAAATGAGGAAAATGTCTATCGAAAAATATTTTATGTGAAACAAACATACCCTTAGATTTTTCATGTTTACTAGTGAAACTAGGGTTGTTAAAAATTTACCGGTGATTTTTCGGAAAACATGTTTTTTTATGGTTAATCAATTTTCGTTTTATTTAAAAATAAAAATAGTAATAATACGGGTGTCTTTTATTAAAATTGAAGTGTCTTAAATTAAATATCAAATCTTAACATGATATATTGATATCAGTACTTCTAATTGAAGTGTCAGTCTAAAGATAACGATATCTTGGAGAGTAGTATTTATACTTAGCTATAAATTTTAATGAATTGTCCAATTGATATTTGTAGTCCGCATTAATTAGTTATACGCTCATAAGTTTGATATGTACTACAATTTAGGGTTAAGTACACAAATAGTCCCCTTACTATAGGGCACTATTTTATTGAGTGCCTCAACTATTAAAAGTTACAAAATGACCATTCGACTATAGAGTGTTGCTTTGTTGAGTCACCTTACTATAAAAAGTTACAAATTGGTCGCTTGACTATTCATTAGGTTCTAAACTTGTCCTTTTCTGTTAAAAAATTGACGGTATCATCAGTTGAATATCAACCTACTGACTGTGATATGATAAAATCCGATCTCAGAATCTCAAATGGCTATCATATCTCAGTTATTATGTTAACGTACGGATTAGACAACCGTCAATTTTTTAACTGAAAATGACAAGTTTGGAACATAATGAATAGTTGGGTGGCCATTTTGTAACTTTTAAAAGTTAAGAGACTTAATAAAGCATCATTCTATAGTTAAAAGACTATTTTTGTAATATTTAATAGTCAACGGACTTAATAAAATAATATCCTATAATCGGGGACCAGTTGTGTACTTTACCCTAGAATTTAATTCTCTAACATCAATTAAATGTGTTTTGTTTTATTGAAAGTATAATTGAATTTTGAAACCAATTATTTTTTTTCAACCAAACTGATGACAAATGATGTCCAGATTGCTCTCCTTTAATTCAGTACTCATATCTTCAATGACAAAAAATTCTTTTAGAATCAATGTTTAAAAGTATCGATACACATTTAATAGTATCGATATCAACAATTTAAAATGGTATAATTGAAGTGAATAATTTCTAAGGGTCGTTTTGTTCGTAAAATGTAAAATTAATTTAGAGAATAAGATTATTAGAATATTATATTATATTGAGAATAACTTCTATCAGTATTCTTAATTGATATCAATATCAACAATTTAAAATGTAAGTTTACAGTGTTTGGTTGGAGAAATATACGGGTTTTTTAAAAATAAGTTAAACTCTGATATTACATTATAAATATGTGAATGAAAATTCATAGAATTATTTTAATTGCTATAGTGTCTATCTTTTGAGAAAAAATGTATTTAACATATAATTAATATAATTAGTATATCAATTTTATATTTTTAAATGTTTTCATAAGTATCATATTTATTTATATAAAATATAATATAATATGAAAAAAATAATATTATGGTCTCAAGTGGACAAAGATATTACCTTTTAATGTATAAGATTCATTTTTAATGGCTCAAAGTTAGATATTATTTTAAATAATTATATTTTTTTACAATGATTTCAATTTTAACCTCATAAAATCATAAATGATTAATTTATTAAATATTTAAAATAAAAAATAATTTTATTTACTCAAACTTGTCAATATCTTACTAAATTAGGCTATTTGTATAACATTATTATTATATTTATAATTTTGAGTAAAGAACGAAAAATTGAGAATTGAGAAAAATCCATACGAAAAGAATTCATTATTTAAGGGATATTCTTGTCCAAAGTGACGGAAATTATGTAATATCTAAGAATTTGGAAGTAATAACATTATCACTATGTATTTAATGTCCATTTGCAGTCGAGATTCACGTACTTAATTTTACGAAAACTTGCATCCTTGTATTGGAGATTCATGTGACAGAAAACACAGTGAAAACACGATAAAACGCATAATATTTTTCATTTAATAAAAACTGTTAAAAAATTAATATTTTAAATTATGTATATAAAATATTATATATTTTTATCACATTTTCAACTGCATCCATTTTCTCTTATTTTTTAACTTTGAATTAAACGATTACTCTTTAAATTAAATTACGTCCAACTCAAAATATTTTATATTTTATTACATTTTCAATTGCGTCACGTTGTTTGAACTTTATAAACATCGTATAATTTTTTATAAAGTAAAGATTTGGAGTATTTCCTAAGGAATTAGAATATAAAAAGTCAATAAAAAGGTATAAAGAGTGAAGGAAGACGAATCTAGCATGTAGCATTGCTGACCACCTTTCATGGAAATAAAAAAAACTAAAGAAAAACACCTCCTCCGACATGGCGGTGGCGTAGCTTCCTGGGACTTTTCCTTCGCCCTGGCTTATATTTAAAAATATGCATTTAAAGTAAAGTTAAATTACATATTTAGTATCCAAACTATTAATTTTGGTCAATTTTAATACTTAAAGTTTTTTAAATCATATTTAATGTTTAATTTACTATTAGTTTTGGTCAATCTTAGTACTTAAACTTTTTTAAATCATACATACCGTTTAGTTTTTGATTCATTTTAGTACCCGTCATTAAAAACTTAACATGTTTAGTACATAAACTATCGATTTTGGTCCGTTTTAGTACCTAAACTTTCATTTTTCTTAAAAAAAAACTTAACGTTAAATTTTGAACGGAGATACTAAAATAAAACAAAAACAAAACTTTAGATATCATTTTGAAAAAAAATTGAAAATGAACTAAAGCTGATAGTTTAGGTACTAAACGTGTATTTACCCTTAAAGTAACTTTTAATTTAAATAGCAATTCAAAATAATTATTGTTATTTAGATATTTAATTTTTTAATTAAATTAGGTGTTTTGCACATGACACTTATTAAAAACTATTTTAAGTATCTAGATAAAAAAATTAGTATATTTTAGATATATATTTCTTGAAGTGATTTTAAATATATATTTTGATGAGATATTTTAAGTATTTTTTTATTTAAAATATTTAAATATTTGAATGAAAAATATGAATACTTTCAGTATATATGTTAGTATGAATTAATTTAAATTATTATATTTTAGATATATATTTCTTGAAGTGATTTTAAATATATATTTTGATGAGATATTTTAAGTATTTTTTTATTTAAAATATTTTCAAATGAATATACACACAAATATAATTATTTATTAATTGTTTTTATTAATATTTAAATTAGTTGTTAGATATAAATTGATAGAAGATATATATTTTTTGTCAAGACAAGTATCTAAATTATTATTTCCGTAATAATTTTAAACTCACATGTTACAAAATATTGATAACACAATTTTTCTTAATAACATATTTTATATATAAAAATATTATTAACGAGCTATCATAATTTTTTATACTTTTATTATAATTTAAATTGATACGTTTTAAATTTTATAATATTAATAAGTGTAAATATGATTTAAATACTATGTTTTCAATTTATAACCTAATGTAACATAAAGTTTAAATTTTTAATGACCAAAATAAAAGCATTTTGAAAGTACAATAACTAAAATGTAATTTATACCAAAAATAAATAAATACTAAAAAAGAGAATCTAAGCTATCTTAGCCGTGTGGTGTGGGACCCATCCTAACTCCGTTCCTTCCTCATGAGAAATTATTTAATAAATCTGACTAACTACGATATTTATGATCTTAATAAAGGAGAATCACTTAATTTTAAAATAATTTTTTAAAAATATTTAAAATAATTTTTTAAATAATTATTTAAAAAAAATGATATCAACAAGTATTATTAATTAAAATAATATATGACACAATAAATCGAGTTTATCTAATAATTTTTCCTTCTTTACCGTCTCCTGTCTCCTTCACCAAAGCCACTTGTACTTTTCCCCCCTAAACCCAATGATGATGATGAGGTTTGCCGACCGACGGTTCTGATCATTTCTGAAACCACCCCATTGCGTTCGATTTTAATTGATTTTCTTGAAAAGATATCAGCGGTCTTGGTTGATTGGGATTGGCCCACGTACACTCCTCTTCTGTGCCCCTTTTCTCTCTAATAAGTTGACCGAGTCGATCTTCGTTTCTCTTTTTCCACCTCTGTGTCTTTAGAAGCTCGAGATGAGGAGCACATCTGAGCCATGTTGAATCTCGTAAGTCTCTCTTTTGTTTTATTTACCCTTTAGTTTAAAGTTTTGATTTTTAAGCTTTGCGGTATCTGAACTCTAAAAGATTGGATTTTTGTAACTGGGCATTAGCAGATCGGCCAGATCTTTCTAATTTAGTTGCTTCAACTGTTTCGGCTACTACTAAATTTTGATATGATATTCTGGGTGTTTAAATTGCTGATTTGATTTGAGGGGGGGAGGGGGAAAGCTTCTTTGGAATGGAATCGGTCAACAAAAAAAGTGAGTTTTTTATTTATTTAAGGGTCAAGTTCTTGCTGGAGCTTTGGAATGAGCTCTGGGATTTTGGTTCAATCTAAGGAGTGATTGTGGTGATTTGATTTGATTTGAGTTTGAATTCAGGAAACTGGTTTTTGTTTTTCTCTTTAGGTACTTTGTTTCTTTTATGTCTTCGGATTGGAGAGAATAAGGCAGTTTCTTTTTACTAATTTATTGGTGGAAAAGAATGGAATTTGCTCGAGTTCATGGATAAACTTGATTGTGGTGATTTGATTTCCTAATCTCTTGATGCTGCCCAGATTTGACTTGGTATTTAGATCTTGATATCTAAGAAGGCCTGAACATGGATCTTGAAGAGAAAGATCCCCAACAAGCACCTTTTACACGGCAGAACTGGGAAGATTCATCTATTTTAGATTACAGCACCAGGATCAAGTCGCCTTTCCAGGAATTCGACCAAACTCATCCTTCGATGTTGTCTGATAACCAAATCAAATTCCTTATCCAAGAAGGTGCCCTTAATGAATTGCTTCAAGCCAGTGAAGTCCAAGACTGGGATCCGAGTGCGATGCTAAACAATCTTTCGTTCCTTGAGCAGAAGATCCACCAGCTTCAGGATTTGGTGCATTTAATCATTGGCCGGAAGGGCCAAGTGTTGGGGCGACCGGATGAACTTGTTGCTCAGCAGCAGCAGCTGGTTACAGCTGATCTCACGTCGATAATAGTTCAGTTGATATCTACTGCTGGTAGTCTTCTCCCATCTGGTAAGAGTACTCTTTCTGTAGCCACTCCATCTCTCGAACAAACTGGGCAGTTTGGTGGAGTCGTCTTCCCTTCTGCGCAAGGGCTGAATGATGGAGTTCATCCCCAAAATGGTTGTGGAAGCAAAGTCTCTGAGCTTCCGAACTCTGTTGATATTAGTCGTAAGAATGGAAATGAGCAGAATCATGTAATCGAGGAACATGAATTAAAAGATGAGGAAGATGTGGAGGAAGGAGAAAGCCTTTTACCTGACACGTATGAGATATTGCAGTTAGAAAAGGAAGAAATCCTTGCACCCCACACTCACTTCTGCACTATATGTGGAAAAGGATTCAAAAGAGATGCAAATTTACGGATGCACATGAGAGGTCACGGAGATGAGTACAAAACACCTGGAGCACTTGCAAAACCCACTAAAGAATCCTGCTCCGAACCAGCTATTATTAAGAGGTATTCCTGCCCTTATGCTGGTTGCAAGCGGAACAAGGATCACAAGAAGTTTCAGCCTCTGAAGACCATTTTATGCGTCAAAAACCATTACAAGAGAACCCACTGTGACAAAAGCTACATTTGCAGCAGATGCAATACCAAGAAATTCTCGGTAATTGCCGATCTGAAAACTCATGAGAAGCATTGTGGTAAAGATAAATGGCTTTGTTCTTGCGGCACCACATTTTCAAGGAAAGATAAGCTGTTTGGGCATATTGCTCTTTTCCAAGGTCACACTCCAGCCATTCCTTCAGAAGAAGTTAAAGCACCCGTTTGGCCATCTGATCGAGGGGACGGCGATCAAGCCGCAAATAAGGTTGGTAGCATGAACATCAACTTTTCCTCTAATGTTTCTAGTGAAAATGAGGCTCAAAGTAGTATGGATATTAAAGGGAGCATCAATGACCCTGCTGGTTATTTCTCTCCGTTGAACTTCGATACATGTAATTTTGGTGGGTTTCATGAATTCCCTCGGCCACCATATGATGATTCTGAGAGTTCGTTTGCATTTCTCCTTTCCGGGTCCTGTAGTTACCCTCAGAAAAGTGGAGAAGACTAAAACCTTAATAATCTTGACTGTGGCTAATTAATGTTTCTAGAATGTATTCTTCCTTGGAGTAGGGATTCAGGGATATTAATTTGTGTTAAATTTGTCCGTAAGGCAGCCTTATGTACTTGGTTGCTTAAATAAATAAGGTCTGTGTTCTCTGAGATCTATTACTTTCTTAGAGCATTTTCTCCAAATTCGCCATGTGCTTGATTGAGAAAGAAAAAAAAAAGTATTGTTCCCTTCAATCGTTTATGTAGATATGTAACCAATTACTTGAGATGCAAGAAAGTTATAATTCTTGTCAAAATATAACAGCTAATACGTTTCTCAAATGTTTTAGCGGAATGATCTGATCTGCCCATAGAGGGAATTATGAAGCAGAATGAGTTTCAAACCCTTGATATCTCCTTTGGATTGCTTCCTTAAGGGGCAACGGTTGTACTTGTCCCTCAAAACCACATCATCCATGACTGACCAGGTGTGTCCTCTAGGAGAGCTATCAGCCCACATGAACCGCTCTGAGAAGGGGTTCACCAGACTCTCCCGGAATTCTTGCACTGTCTCACAGATCAAGCCCTGAAAACAAGAGAACATATGAGAACAAGACAAAGGGATAAAAAAAATGTCATAGTGCAAAAACACTACCTCTGCCATGGCTTTGATCTTCAGAGTGATGTCATTGCTCAGCAGGACCAATTGTCCATCACCATTACTCATTTTTCTATGAAGTAGGGCGTAATCAAGGATGTGGTCTTGTGCTGTCGGTGTAGCAATTTCCATTAGATTTCCCCGAGCTGAAAATGGCCCAAACATGCTACCTTCGCTGAAATGAGAATGAGTAGTGGCGGGTGGTGTGGGTGCTATTGGCCCTTCTTCCTCTGTAGTGCTCTGGACATGGATCCACCATTTTGTTTTTACCATGCACTCTTCAACCCATTCCAAAACCGAAGAGGCTTCGTTTGTTCTCCTGAATAGAGTACCACGACGCTTCAAACAATCCAACTCCCTTATAACTTTTAAAGACAAAAGATGCCCATAGTCAGAGAAAAAAAGAGAGAATATGGCTAGTTAGTATTGAGATTATGAATCACGGTAATACTCATACGGCAAAAGAGATTATTATGCTCATAGATTAGTTACCCATCCTTGGAATGATCAATAGAGTCCCTTTGAGACCTTGTAAGAGCTTTAACGATTTCCTTGATTCCTCATCCACCAAAGAACTGGTGTCAGCTACCATGGTCCAAGTCCTTTGCTTTCCAACAGATTTGTTCTGCAAATGAATTTCAGTTAGTCCACTTATATCTTTGGCTAGAATACTGCAAGAATTAGTGATGAATTCTTGGACTAAAGTATAATGTTTTCTCAGAACTCACTAAAGATGGATAACCAATCCTCTTCTCTATTTTCTTAGTATTCAAAATAGTATTCTTGCAACTTTGAACTGAAGTATTGGGGTCCAGAGCTTCTGATACAGTTTCGCAAGCAGAGTCCACCAGCAAAGGTTGAAATGGCCCCCTCTCTGCTTTTCCTTTGATCACAGTCTGTTGTTCTAACTTAGGTTGATTTCTAGAGGCCTTGCTTGTGTATTTGTGCTCTTTTATAAGTTTGGGTGTCTGGTTTTCTTTGTCCAAGGTAATCACGTCATCTTCAGCCTGAAGATGAGGACTACAGGTAACCTTTGAAGAAGAATGCTTGGTTTCGTCCAGCTTGTCATTTCTTTTCAGCACTTTCATCAAAAGAGTATTTGGGGTGAAATTCTCTTTGTCTGGGGTAAAAATTTCTTCTTCATCTTCTGAGCTAACAAAAAGTGATTTTGGAACTCTTTTATTTTCATCAGCACCACATTTCCCAGTTTGAATATGAAGAACAGATGCAGGTTTACCTCTTCTGGACCAAATGCTTTGGAAGTTGGATTTAGTTTCTAATCTCAAGGGAGAGCCATCTAAATTTTCAGACTCGGACAGCAAAGTAGGAGCAAGGAGAGAGTGTGGGGTTGAGCTCCTTTTATCATCTTCGGCAATGGGCAAAGATGAGTTGACTGATTCTGTTGAGTGAGAGACAGAATAAAAACCTGTGTGTTGGCTTAATAGTTTCTCATCATCAGCATCCTCAGCCTTTCGAGCGAGATAGAAGTTACATCCATCAGTTGCTGCATTTTCCTTGTTTTCAGTTTCTTCCCTTTGTTTCAAAGCAGAAAGAAGCTGAGGAATCTGTTTTTCTTCATGTACTTGCTGAGACTTTAGTACATTCAAAACCATATCTTCGTCTCGCAGAGTTGATTTAATTGATTCCATCAGGTGAGGCTGGGTGGGAACTCTTGAGCCATCTAAATTTTCAGACTCAGACATCACAGATGAGTTGACTGATTCCGTTGAGAGAGAAACAGAATAAAAACCTGTGTGTTGGCTTCCATAGTCTTTCCTTGATAGTTTCTCATCATCAGCATCCTCAACCTTTCCATCAAGAAAGTGATTACATCCATCAGTTGCTGCATTTTCCTCGTTTTCGGTTTCTTCCCGTAGTTTCAAAGCAGAAAGAAGCTGGGGAATCTGTTTTTCTTCACGTACTTGCTGAGACTTCAGTATATTCAAAACGATATCTTCGTCCTGCAGAGTTGATTTAAATGATTCAATCAGGTGAGGCTGGGTGGAAACTCTTGAGCCATCTAAATTTTCGGACTCAGACAGCACAGGCAGTGCAGGAGCGAGGAGAGAGTGTGGGGTTGGGCTCCTTTCATCATCTTCGGCAACGGGCAACGATGATTTGACTGATTCCGTTGAGAGAGAATCAGAATAAAAACCTGTGTGTTGGCTTCCAAAGTCTTTCCTTGATAGTTTCTCATCGTCAGCATCCTCAACCTTTACAGCAAGAAGATAGTGATTACATCCATCAGTTGCAGCATTTTCCTTGTTTTCGGTTTCTTCCCTTGGTTTCAAAGCTGAAAGAACCTGGGGAATATGTTTTTCTTCATGTACTTGTTTAGACTTTAGTATATTCAAAACCATGGCTTCGTCTTGCAGAGTCGATTTAATTGATTCCATCAGGCGAGGCTGGGCGGAAACTCTTAAGCCATCCATCTTTTGCTGGTTCTCTTCAACTGTCACGGTAGCTGAATAGGTTTCCAGTTCTGAAAGTTCCCTCTTTTCAGGGCTGTTCTCAGTTTCATATGTTGAAAAATTCATATTTTCAGGCTTTGAAGACGCTGATGGAATCTCCCTGTTCATAACTAGTCCTGAACCCTCCAACATTGAATCCATTGAGAAAAGTTCTTTCTCTTCAGCAGGCATTGAAGTCTGAAAATGATCAGTAAAGATAAGTTTAAAAAACCATGCAGTCCGTACATTCACTGCTTTAGAAGCAAATATACTCCAAATGCTTTCAGGTCGTTTTCCTTGAGCTATCAATAATCCATTCTCTCTAATTTTTTCATCCATGACCAATCAATAAATTTTATCCTAAACATTTTTCACATAGCGAAAGGGAACAAAAGAAATTTACAGCATATGATGTTGACATCCTAATCCTACAAATCTTTCTTGAAATCTCTATTTTAAGATATAAATCCATGTAAGAAAGGAAAAAGGTTAAATTAACAATTTCACAGGCATATACCCTAACCTGAGATGTTTCTTCTTTCTTTTCCACCATCAATGAATCTCTCTCTTCACCACATTCTCTTTTAGTTGATAACGTATGCACCACCTATGGAGTTTAATACCCCAGAAAGAAAAGAAAAAAAAGATTATTTCAATCCCAGAATGCTTCCAGATTGTTTTCCTTGAGCTATCAATGATCCATTCTCTCTAATTAATGAATTTTATCCTATACATTTTTCACATAGAAAAAAGGGAACAACTGAATTTACAGCAAATGATTTGACGTCCTAATCCTACAAATCTTTCTTGAAATTTCAATTTTAAAATACAAACACATACAAAAAAGGCAAAAGGTGAATTAACAATTTCACAGACAACCCTTACCAGATGTGATTCCACTGCCCTTTCCTCCTCTTTCTCTTCTTCCACTGCCATATCCATTGCAGATACGAAGGGGTTTTCCATATCATAGGCACGGCACATGGGAATCCAGTGTAGCTTATAAACCCTAGTTGAGCCACCAAGTTTTATAGTATCACCTTCGCTCAGTTCTACCGCAACTCCTGGGTCAATCTTCTTCCCCGAAACCCAGGTCCCGTGAACTACACCCCAAGTAAACGGCAAGATAATCAATCCAAGTACACCAAGAAACCAATGAAACTCGAATAAAACAACAATCAAGAAAAAGCCAGACAAGAAACATGAAAAAAGAAAGAAAGGAGAAGGGAATTTAATACCAGATGATAAGTCGACGATAGAGAGCTTCTGGGAAGAGGGTCTGGAGTGAATTTGCAAGTGAAATCTGCTTATGCTTGGATGGGTTAACATGATGTTGCAATCCGGGTGCCTTCCGACGACCAAAATCTCCTCGACTTCTGATTCTTGAACGTGCGGGTCTTCTTCATCTTCAGTATCTCTGGGGTTTTTTATGACGAATATGTTCTTGAGAATTGCTCCGTTCTTTACCACTGTAAAAACTGGAATTTTCCTCTCTTTTTCTTCAGCCATTGTTGACGGGAAACAAACAGAGGGAGACTAGAGGGAACTCGAGATCTGGGGTCTTACGTTTTGGGGTTTAATCTGATTTTGTTTTCTTTTTGATTTGTGAAATTCATTGTATTTATACAATGTTTTCTTGCAAGTAGAATGGTATTTTCTTGGAGGGATTTTGATTTTGAATATTTGAAAAGGGGACCGTTGATATTTTAGTAATTCTGCTATAACGGCTGTTGGAGCCCACTTCAAGCACATTTGTAAATTTGGTAATGGTATTGTTAGGACAAATGGTTTATTCGTGGCTTAATACACTTTTAGGTGCTTAAATTTTATCTGAAATTGACTTTTGGTACCTAAAGATTTTTTTTTTATAAAAAGAGGTGCCTAATATTTCCAACTTTACACTTGTAGGTGTTTGGGTTGTAACGACTATTAAATTTGGTCGTTATCTAACACATGTCATGCACATAAAATTTTAAAAAATTATTTTAAAAAGATACACTTTTAGGTGCCAAAGTTATATCTCGAATTAATTTTTGGTATCTAAATATTTCTTCGTTAAAAATAAGTGCATAATGTTTCATTCATTATAATTTTAAGTGTTTATTGTTATATTTTTTTTATATTTTTAATAATAAAAATATTATTAAAAAATAAACCTTCCTCGCGTCGTCCATCTCCCTCTCATCCCCCACCTCCAATGACGAAGAAAGATCACAACCGATTGAGTTTTGTTTTAAGCATGACGAGGAATTTAATGGTGACAACTATGTAATGTAAAACCAATAATAGCCGTCATAATCGTTAAAAAGGCAATGAAAAAAACTTAAAAATTTAGTGAGCCTTCATGTTTCGTGATAGGTGGGGACTGGGTTTTGGTTGCACGGCGAGACGATTTTGATGGTGTTAATGTTGTAGACCACGGATCGAGCCGAATGATGGTGGAATTTTGAGTTTTTTTTTTTAATTATAATATTAATTTTTTTAATATTTTAAAATTTTATCTATATGACAAGATAACAGTTTAACGAAGACTAGGTATCTAAAGTGTAACGTTGAACTATCTTTAACAAAAAAAAAAAATTATTTTAAGTCAATTTGAAATATAGTCTCCTAGTGTATTAAGCCTATATTTGTTTACAAGAAGGGCTGTTCTTCGTAGCATATGTTTCTTAACTTTCATTCTGCAGTCTCAACGGAAGAAATAGAGAATTTAAAGCTTTCTCCTCTCTATTACCAAACAGACTACCAACAAAACCCTAAAAATCCATTTTCTATTAATTTTTTTCCTTTACCGAATTTTATTTTCTTCCTTCATTTGTCTCTGGCTTTCACCTTCGTGGCGTTTCCCCCCTTCTTTCACTGAAACTTTCTCACTCGATTTCTTTCTTGTGCTTTTTTTTTGGGTCATAATTATTCCTTTTTTATCCCATGAAACAAAACGCATTGTTTGAACTGGTAGACGGTTATTTTCATGAAACGGTTACGTTTTCAGGCGATAGCTTGGAATCGTAGCGGCGGTTAGGTATACTCTTCATTCTCTTTCATCTGCCCACTTTTAATTTTGTTAGAATTTCCCATTTCTTATCGTTGCCCCTTTGGGTTCCGTTCCTAGCACTTGGAAATTTATAATCAAAATTTCATCTAGGGTTTTTAAGTATATCTTCAATTTATTGGTATTCAATGTTGTTTTCCTAAATTTAACTGGCATTCTGGCGTTAAGTAATTTTGGAAAGTTCTTTTTTCCTTTGTTTTTTCCCCAAGTTGTTGATTTGAAAACAGGGCTGGATTTTTTCTATTTTAATTTATTGGGAAATACGATGGTCTTTTGAGATTGCAGAATCAGTAATCTGCAAATCCATCTTTTAATAAAAGATGGAAGAGTGGGAGATGGGGAGAGTTAATTATATAGCCTCCTAATTGGCACTGGCATTGCCATTGTTGTCGTTGATACTACTCACACTTGTGTTAGGATTGTATTTCGTTTGATCAATCAATCCCTTTGCCATTTGGTGAATGTCCCGTTAAATTCAGCGACCCTGGTTTAAACTACCAGGGATAGGGTAAAGAGTTCGGGAGTTTATGTAGGAAGAAAATCAATTTGCTATGTTAGGGTTTCAGGAAGTGTTTCTTTTTCCCTTTTCCCTTTTAGGTTCTAGTTTCCGATGATCATATTCAATATCCCTCATGGAAAGTAGAGAACCAACTTTTGTTCCTCAATGGCTGAGAAGTAATAGCACTATTGCTGGTGGTGGCAATTCAGCACACAACTTCGCTTCCTCTTTTTCCCACTCTGGTACCTTTTCACCAACTTTTGAATATCTATTGCATTTCTCTTTTTATTTATTGCAATGTTACTGCTCGATTTGTATATTGTTAGACACACCTTCCATATGCCACTTTTTATATTAATTGTGTTTGCATATCATTTCAGGAATATGTAGCGACTATATTTTTTGTTATATTAGATTTTTTTTTCAGGGCATCATGGGAGACATAGAAAGTCTAGGAATATAAATGATTTTGATTCCCATCGTTCAGCATTTTTGGAGCGGACATTTTCATTGAATTCACCGAGGAGTTCTAGTAATGGTTCTGCAAAGCATGCGTACAGTAGCTTTAGTAGGAATCACCGTGATAAGGATCGAGATAGGGATAAAGTGAGGTTGAATTTTGGGAATCATAGGGACCGTGCTGCTTCTGAACCTTTAGAAAGTCTCTTAATTGGTAAGGTTGAGATAGAAACATTGCACCGTTCAAATTCTATGTTCTCTAGGAAACAGGGTGAGCCTTTGCCTAGAAGGGTCGGTGTGGATGCTAGAGACAGTATTAACACTAACCATAACAATAACAGTGTTCTGCTTTCTGGGGTTGCTGTTGGGAGTAGCATCCACAAGGCTGTGTTTGATAGAGATTTTCCCTCACTTGGAACTGAAGATAGGCAACTGGTGACTGAGATAACTAGAGTTTTGTCTCCTGGTTTGAGCTCAGCTTCTCATAATTTGCCCATATGTAGTTCAGCGTTGGTTAGTGGAGATGGATGGACCTCAGCTTTGGCAGAAGCCCCCAGTGTGGTTGGAAGTAGTAACACAGGTTCCTTGACTGCCCCCCTAACTGTTTCCACATCAAGTTCTGTGACTTCAACTGGCACATCTGGTCTTAATATGGCTGAAACACTCACACAGGCTCCTCAACGATCCCATACTCCTCAGGTAACTGATCAGTGACTAAGTTAATATATTTATCTGTGATCTAATTAGAAATTTTCGTTTCATACAGTTATCTGTCAAGACTCAGAGGCATGAGGAACTGGCTATTAAGCAATCAAAGCAACTAATACCAGTGACACCTTCAATGCCCAAGGGTTCGGTAAGGAACTCCCCCCTCCCATTTTGTCTTTGTCCCTCCCTCCCTAGCCTTTGATATGGGTTTCAACTTACTCTTTTATCAAGTGTACTATCCAGATTAATTTCTTGTTTTTCTGATACAATTATTAGTTAGTTACATAGTGAGCTGAATTTCTTAAAGCTACAGTTGGTGATAATAACATTCGTCTGCATTTATAGCTTCTCATAAACTTGATGGTCAATGTATTTCTGATATTTTATGGTGCCTTATGTTGTTGCTAATTTTAATTTAGTGTAGGTATGGAATTACATTATTTGTGTCTATTCTTTGCTGAGATCGTTGATCATCTTTCCCAATCATAATTTAGAGTCAAGAATGAGATTTGGAAAGGAACTCATTAGGTCCCCTGCATTTTGTTTAATCAGTATCTTCAAATAAATACAGTCAATTTTAAATTAGTGTAGATATGGAATTACATTATTTGTGTCTATACTCTATATTATGCTGAGATCGTTGATCATCTTTCCCAATCATACTTGAGAGTCGAGGACGAGATTTGGAAAGAAACTCATTGATGAATCATATAACTTTTCAAGGAGTCCAGTCACTATTTAATGACAATTGAAATTATAAACAGCCATGCTTGTTTCTTTTTTCTTTTTCCACTCTGGATTTGTTATTTTTCGGGTTGAAGTTCAGATGACTTCTCTTCATGTAAGTTTCCTCGTATAGACTTCAGATGCAATTATAGTTGTCTTTGTTCATTTTCAAGAGCTCTTCAAATGCCAAGATTAACTGAAGTTAGCAAGTTTGTTGTCATCTCATGAAGTGTTCAGGACGTAGCTCTGTTCTGTTTGTTACCTGTCTACTGCACGGATAAAATAATTATTTATTTAGTATTTTCAAAATTCTTGGTAGTAGCTACCTAACTTTTTGTCCCAGGTTCTCAATTCAGTGGATAAATCAAAAGGCAAACCAGCCGTCAGAACAAGTGAGATAAATATAGCTGTGAAAAGCGGGCAGCAGCAACTTGCTTTGATTCATCATGGTAATCAATCCCCTCATGGTGGACATGTCAAGTCTGATATGCCGAAAACATCTGGGAAACTATTAGTTCTCAAACCGGGATGGGAGAATGGGGTCTCATCCCCTACTCAAAAAGATGTTGTTAGTCCATCTAGTGGGAACAGCAAAGTTACAGTTAGCACACAAGCTGCTGGTCCTACAAGAAGCTCAAACAGGCCAAAGCTTTCTGCTGGCGAACGAAAGGTAGCTGCCTTGAATTCAGTAGCTGGGTTCACTGTTGAAAAGAGACCTTCTTTGGCTCAAACCCAGAGCCGAAATGACTTTTTTAATCTGCTGAAGAAGACCTCAGCAAAGACTTCTGCAGGTCACTCAGATTCACACCCTCGTGTTTCACCTTCTACCTCAGAGAAATCTGAAGTTACAAAGGAAGTAGTTAGTGTCTCTTCGACTGCTCATGCTAATGAAAATGGTACTGCTGCAACTAGCCATGGTGATGCTGATGCCTGTCAAGAGGCTCAAAGTTTTGCTGATGATTGTGAAAGGAATATGGGCTCTGCTTCTATGATTCATCCTGATGAGGAAGAGGCTGCATTTCTTCGTTCTCTTGGCTGGGAAGAAAACTCTGGTGAAGATGAAGGCCTTACAGAAGAGGAGATCAATGCTTTTTATCAGGAGGTAAG